ATCCCCACCCACAATGTATTGCATTCTTTGGCGCCTTGTGTCCGGGTTAATTCATAGCCGCTTCCTTTTTCCCACTCCTGAATCACTAAAAGCACATTCCTCTCTCCTCTCAATTAGAGTCCCTTCTAATCTTAGTGTAGTAAAGTCTTGTCACCAATCCACTCCTATTAAAGCACACAAAATGGCGGTCTATAGCTAGCCTTTAATTTCCTATCCTACATCCCAAAGATGGACCCCCTCGTTTGGTGAATTTTTGGCTGATTCCAAGTTTTGACTCCTTTTCTTCACTTCTCTTTTCACCTCATGAGCCGCGACTTGGCCTGAGGTTGAACAATTGTCCCGAGTCCAAACGTATTCTTTCGATCTCTTCGATGAATCTACGAATCTGTTGAGCTTACTTCCATTTCGAGTGGAAGTGTTGCGCGAAAAAATGCGATGGTCCGTTCCATCAGAAGACGACGGCTAGCTGTCGATTGGCTTTACTGGAACATTCATACTAAAGTTTTTGTTCGATTCCGATGAAAAGGTGATAAGCTTTCGACCGTCATATGACGGACATCATCTGAGCGAGGTACCATCCTCACAACAAAATTGAAGCCAACGAGCCAAGAAAACTCACCGGAAAATCCCTAAAAAGTGGTACACATACTCTACATCTGGCCTCTTGGATCAAGTATAAAGTGATTTGGTTGGCTAAGGTCATGTGTCAATTTCGATGCATGTGAGTGCGTCTGTCTCTGTATGTGTATGTGCCTGTTTGTGTTCGCTAACGCACGAAACCTTAAGTGATGGCTCAAAGTAATTAGGACAGCAAAAAGGTTTGATAACCCTATCTATAAACATGTTATAAACATCACTTCGATTGCGCAAGGTCAGGCAAACTTTTGGTTTTGTTGGTGAGCCTATTTTATGTTTTTGGTCTCAATGCGAGAGAGAAAGAGTGAGCTAAAAGTACAGAAAATTGACTATGAAAAGAACCAAAAGACAAGAAAAGACTATGCTTTAGTCTATTAATTAAGAACAAGTAATTTTTACAAGTATTCCTTAAATTAAATGTATTTCCTATTCGGTTTATTTCGATGGTTTCTCTAATTTTACGTTTAGCCGCAAACATGCCAGAATCAGCAAAACGACAAGTTTGAGACCATTCAATCTCGTGTCCCGTTTCTGGCCTGTACTCAGCAAGCTCCGATTTTCGATCCCAACTCCCTTTTCAGACGCTTTTGTGCTCACCCACGCTTCGTCAAATGGGACGACAAGTCTCTCCAACATAAAAGCGACCAAATGAACACATCATTTTGTAGCAACCCGATCTGGAGAATGGGTCAACTTTCTCTTCTCAAAGTGGGCACGACTGAAGAAAGTGTCGTAGTTTCCCAAATCTGCGAAAGTATCACTGACTCTTCCCTCTTCTAATCTCTTTGATCTTCCGTTTTGAGTCCAGTCTTTCGTTGTGTTCTAGTCAATTGTGTGACCGGCAAGGACGGTCTGTACCACTAACTCCGATCTTTTCGTATCCATTTTGTTGTCATAGTCGCTTGGGTTCTTTGATCTTTGTCCTTTTCGTCTATCCGATGCATTTTTGTTCATATTTCTTGCGTTTTACGTCGGAATATCTTTGATCTCGCTTGCAGAGGTGAATGAAAGGGATTCGTAAGTTGGTCATACCGGAGGCTGTGGAGTGGTTGTCTTGGATATGTGCGAATGGGTCATTGGCACACAGCTTTCGTCCGTAAAGTGACGGACATCGCAACCCCCCCCCTTCCCCCACCTCCACAACTTTGGGTGGAGCCAACTCACGAATCCGTTCGACTCGCCTCTTCAAACGAAATAAAAGGGCAAGTTGGTTGGAAGGAATTTGGGATATCGTCTCACCGAAAACCGAAGGAGGATTGCCGCGTATGGAAGACGGTTGAATTGTGCGAAGAAATCCTGATCAAACTGTGCTAAACTTTCGTCTGTACTGTGACAGACATCATCACACAGACAGCCTGATTTAATACTCTACGAAATAGAAGAAAAAGATGCTTGATATCGCGATATTAATGAAGCAAGTTTACTTCACATGCTTGCAAATGAGCGAAGCTGATTTCCCGAACCGAAATCACACAAAAGCTAGCGTATGATCGCCTATTGCTGAATCATGCTTGGTCTTTTGTTATTGTCTATTGTGTCAATGTACTATTCATGTCATGAGTAGTATGTTAGTCCTAGCTAGACACGAAACTAATTCAACCTCCTCTCGCTTAGTAACTCTTCCTGTACCCCCCCTCTCTCCCTTCCAACAGCCGCAAAGAATTACTACTTAGTTTTCGATACTAGATGTTTTAGTGGGCAAAGAAGGTAATAAGTTAGATAGAGACTATCGTAGGTTTCCGTATTAATTTTTTTCTCGAAGAATACATATTAAGTAAAAATAGGAGCTATGAGGTTTATGATAATGGGTCTACGTCTAGCAGATGCAAACCATGGTTCCTGATTTTGTCTTCCTGTCAACTTGCGAACAAGTCGGGTGAACTACTGAGCAACTGGAACATAAAAACAATGTATAATGGGAAATTAACACTTTCTTTAGAAGGTTCTTCATCTTAAGGATATTGAGACCCTCTTTCTAAATCAGGCTGTCACAAAGTTGTGTGATCATGTGGTAGGGTATATGTGGAGGAGACTATGTGGATCAAAAATTCGGAGCTCGCTGAACCATGTCCACTCATGGACACTCGATAGACTAGTCCAAAACACGTTTTGCGAGTTGTGGGGAATTTACGTAAAAGCGTAAGATTAGGCAGTTTATAAAAAATTAACAAATCAGCCAAATCATCAACGAGTGTAGAAAATTGAGTAGGAACTTTTTCTGCCTGTTGGATAGACTTAAGGACTATCATACTACTCATGACATGAGTAGTACATTTACACAATCGACAATAGCACAAGTCCAAACATGATTCAGCAATAGGCAATCGTACGTCTATTTTTTTGTGTGTGATTAAACAGCTGCCACCGAACGAATTTCTGCTTCGGTAAGATGACTTCACTCATTCGCAAGCATGTGGAGTCGGGTTGAAGTAGCCAAACCAAATCGGAGAAGGCTTTTGGTAAAGTATGCAATCAAACGCTGATGATGTTGGTCAC